GTGTTAGCCTCAAAGGTGCCACAGGACCCTCTGTTGCTCCTTTTAAGAGAACTTTGTTTTTACGTTTAGTTTTTTGTGTACTTTGTATTGTTGAGATTTTCTTAACGGTATTATAAAATAAAGTAAGGAAGCGTGTCCTGGACCAGTGCCTGGAAGCCGGCTCTTCTGTCCAAGAGACTTGTGTCACCCTCTACTACTCATTCACAAAGAGAGCGCTTCAACACTACAAATACATTCACTGAAAGCACTTGGAGTGTGATGGGCTACAGCAAAACTCCATAGAGAAGGAGATGGAAGGTCCAGTTTGCTCTAGAGAGTGTTGCAATACGCAAATGACAACTCCAGCTATAAGAACGCTCTGCTTGTAAAAAAAAAAAAAGAAAGAAATCAAACCTATTTGACTCTAAGAGTGTCTACAGTGCAGCCGCAGGTATGCTTTATAGCTTGTGTAGACATACCCCTGCTAGCTGTACTATAGCTAGCTTGCTAAACATAGCAGTGAGGATGCTGAGACGCGGGCTTCAGACTGGGCTGCACAAGCCCAACTGATCCCCCTGGGTACGTACTTGCTTGTACAGCCAGCACTGAAGCCCATGCGGTCACATCCTCACTGCTATATTCAGTGAGCTAGCTAGAGTACAGCTAGGGCACGTACCATTCGCACTTGCGCCTGCAGTGTGGACGTACCCTTCGAGGATTCCACAGTCTGGTTCCTTGTTTGAATTTAATCCTTGTTTTGGATTTCTTTTTTATTGTGCTTGGCTTATGTGTTCAATCCACTCCCTCCTCTGGTGGTTAGAGTGTAATCTCAATTACAGCTATGCCACCCCAGCGGCCAGCCTGTGTTCACTGTCCAAACAGTTAGCTACACCCGAGAAGAGCAAGCATGTGCTGTTTCCTCGTTACTTAAAGCAACACTGGTGGGAGACTCTAGACTGGATGATGCTACTGGCCAGCATAAATCAAACGACCATGTTGTTTTGACTGTAGGCCCAAATGGGGTAGCACCTTTCACGTCACTTGCTCAGGGCACAGACAGGCTTTGCTGTGAGTGCAGAGCTTGCTGTACCCCTATATCACCTCCACCCCAGTTGATCCCCTCCTCCACACCCTGGTGCGAATGATCCATTCAGGGAAGCAAGCACTTCCCAGTGATAGCTGGGCTGTGGACGGACTCGTAGGAAACGAGTGCAGGAAAGAGTCACCATTGAAGGTCCCCTAACAGTACTGAATGGCCTCCCACAGGTTTCCCTCCTACCTGGTCTTGATCCACATCTTCATCTCCCGTAATAATGATCCGCTTCTCTATTCTGGTCTCTGCAAACCCTCCTTTCACAGTCTGAAATGGAAAAGGGGGCAGGATGAGTCCACAGACTGGATGATTCTCACGCACTAGACAGGTGGCTGCCTTGGAGGCTGCTCAAGCTTCAGCTAGTGGAGAACAGAGCAGTCTGATTGCTTGGTGGGTAGGGCCAAAGGGAACATATTGCGCTAGTGCTCCACAGACTGCACTGGCCTCCTGTTCACTTGGGGATGCAGTTCAAGGCATTGAAGTTGATCCTTAAAGCCTTCCATGGTTTGCGTCCTACGTTAGCTGCTGAATTTGAGATCCCACGTTCCCTGTGTGTCACCCCAAGAGCTGAGATCAGTGTATTTGCCCCAGTATTGGGCACCTGTGTGGGTGGTTTTCCCTGGAGGGCTCTTGGGTTTGGAAATGGCTCTCTTCATTGGTTTGGCATTAGGTGTGGTAGGTGAGATTTTCAAAAGTGCTCAGCACCGACCTAACTCTGCTCCCAATTAAATCAGGGGGAGCTGGGGCAATGCCGAGCAATTTAGAAATCCAACCCAACTCAGAACATTTCTCTCTGCCTCACTGGTAAAATCCCCCACTTTCCTAGTAGATCGGATTTGTCCCTGGTGTGTATAAATATATGACATGCACACTGCGAACTGCCTTCCTTCCTGAAATGTAGGACACAGCCACAAATGGCAGAAACACATTGGCCCAAATTCACCCCGATGCTAGTGGCCCCAATGAAGTGGAACCCACTTATACCAATGCTGAAAGTGCCCCATTTACTTTAAATGGTAAAGGACTCTTGCATGTTCAGTTGCTATGTAAATGGCGTCAGTCATGGGCCACTATGGGATGATGCGTTTGCTGTTTCCAATTGGTGTACATTACAATCTGGTGTACAAGTCCTTCCTCTCCCAACGGAAGCTGTTTTCTTAAGGAACCCACAGCCTGCCCACAAGGTATTATGTTTTGGTGATGTCCCACTCCTGACTTTGTGCCTTCGTCATTCTTACCTTGGTAACGTGGGTAGTGGTGGAGGTGGAGAGGGTTTCTGCGGTGGCACCAAATATGCTGGTGAGAACTTCCTTCCCAGCAGAGCTGCTGGTGATCTACAGAACACGCAAGGAACATCCGTCAACAGGACCAAGGGCAATGGAGCCCTTGTCAGTAATGCCACTTCCCCTAATGCTATCAGTGTGGGGCTTGGGAGGATGCCAGAAAGCTTACAACTTCACGGTTCTCAGGACAGATCATTCAAACGTCCCTATTCTTTCTTCATTCCTTTTCTCTCTTTCACTGTCTTCCAGGCCTGCTCCTAGGTTGGCTCTGTGCTGTGCTGTGGAGGTTGGGAGTTAGGGCTTGGATCACCCACCACCAGGGCCTTTGTGCTTCTCATAGTCCTTCCACAAGGAGAGAGTGCAACCAGAGGGAGAGCTGTGCTAGCAGGGTCTGGCTGAGTCCAGCCCTGCCCTCCCTGTATGAGACTGGGAGCCAGCCCATGATGGGAGAGAAAGATAAAAAAAAGGAGTGAAGAGAGAGAAGTGGGGCTCAGAGAGCCAAGGCTATTACTCAGCCTGTCAGCCCATGAATTGCTGCTTGGCTGCCCTGCAGAGGGGTGAAGAGTTTGCAAGGCAAGAGAGAGGCTTACAACTGGTCTGAGTGTTTTTGTGGGGACAGGCTGTCATCTCCGGAGCAACCACAACAGCTGATGGAGCAGCAGAGAGGACCCCTCCCAATGGGGAACACAATTCCATTCTATTGCATTTCTTTAGGGTCCTTTGTTTTATACCCAACTCCAAACACAGAAGAGTTAAGGACAGATGCAATTTTCCTCTGAGTGCATGGGCTGGATGCATGTACCCCCTTCTCTGCTGCAGGCACCCCAAGTGTCTGTGCTTCTTTGGGATGTAGGCTCTGGTAAGTGACTGACCTGGAACAGGGGGCAGCATCGGGCCGGGCTTTACCCCGCCTAGTAGTAATCAAAGGGGGAAAGCAGTAAAACAGAACGTGCTGCTCTAACGGCCTGATCCTGCAAGGTACTGAGTGCGCCCTGCAAATTGCTGACCATGGACATCGATGGAAGCCGAGCATCACCCCACAGGATTGAGCCCGAGAAGAGGGATCTGCAGCTGGTGCATGACATTGACCTCTTGCGGCTCCAAAGCCTTAGTGATATTGGACCAACCCCTGCACGCTGCTGCTCAAGCAGAGCTCCCCTGGAGTCAATGAGACCTTTGCCTGAGTGAGGAGTGAGCCTAGGGAGCTCTCCGGTCCCAATCTGTGTTCAATGTGTGTGCTTGTTCTGGACAATAGAGAGTCACCAGGTGGAAGATTCCAGGTCCTGCCTTGCCCTGCATTCCTTAGGCAAGTGGGATGGCCAGCCTGTCCTCCCTTCCTGCTCCACAGAAATCTCTCAGCAAGGAGATGGTGCACTCCGGCCCCATGCTGGAGGAGGGTGTCTGCACCCAGGAAAAGATAATGCAGCAGGTGCGTGAGCTACCAACTGAGAACAGCCTAAACCCTGAGCCAAGGGCCAGCTCCAAGGGGTGGCATTTCACAGCCAGACAGCATCCCTGCAGCACCCCCAGGGCCTCTGTCCAGCACAGAAACCTGGGAAGTAGAAGCACCTTCTCAACTCACCGGAGATATGGAGCGAAGTTCGGTAGCAGGGCTCATTCCCTTCCCAGGCTTGGTACTGTGATCCTGGAGGAACAACATTACATTGGAGCTTTGGCATGGACACAAGCAGGACAAACAGCTGGGAGGGGAGCATCAGAAACACGGGAGGTCTGTAGGCCTCTCCCTTCGTTTGCTGGCATCTTCAAATGGCCAGGGACAGAGCGCCCTTCCGTCCCTGTCCCCAATGGAACAGCGCCCCCTGCCAAGCCCCCCACCCAGCTCAGGGCCGCTCCCTCTCACTCAGCACCCAGGAATCAATCAATGAGGGAGGACGCAATTAGACACCGCCACCTGGGGACCCCAGGAGAAGATGGCCTGGCTCCGCAGAGGCACATGCTTACTGAGGTCACTGATATGCTTTCTGTGGTGACGATGTGGGACGTGGCTGTTGTCTCTTTTCCGCCCGTGGTGCCTCTGTCGACCTGCCAAGGGAAGGGGAGACCTGGTGAGTCCACGCGGATACAGCCGGGGAGTTAGCCAGCTGGAAAGGAGCGCTTGGTCTGCTTTGTCTGCACTTGCTGACAAAACGTTAGTGCCCTGGAGCAGTGACGCACTGGGGGTAGGGAAGCCGTAGACAGGTCTTGAAGCTGCAGATGGGCAGTAACTAGCCTGGTGCGATGTGTTTAATAAACAGGAATGCAAACCAAAAGGTCTCTGTTATTTGCCCCCAACCAAGGCAGCCTCCTGTGGGAGGGGCACAACAGCCAGAGAGCAATGCACAGCAATGCTGCACACCAATCCCGTATTCAAGTGACACGTGCAGGGGGGGTGGGGGGGTGTGAGAGAG